TATGAAATTAGGAGCACTCAAAAACAGTAACTTAGCTATGCCGGTATGTCCTAGGGAATGAACCTATGGGATCTCAATCTAGCTGCCCATAGTGCCATTTTATAGGAACAGAAAGACTATATAGCTGTCTTTGACTGCTAAGAACTCAGACACACTCTTTGAAATTTTGCTAGAAATAAAACAAAATAAATTCGCACAAAATAAATGACTTTTTGTACCTTATGTGATTTCACATGCGCCACGATTTTATTAAGTTGGATCGGTACATATCTGGTTCATATTTAACCTAACCGTACAAAAGATATCCCCCAAAAAACCGACCTTCCGAAAAATTCGATAAGAAAAGGTTACTAATTCCTTGTAGGCAATCCGACCGGAAGCTGTATTCCCAGACTTTCAAAAATTACGCCAGGGGCTCCAACCACGCCTCCCTCTCCTTGTACCACTCTATGGGTATGAGTTTTTGTCCACGTTTAAGACTTAAAACAACAACGGCAACAGATATAAGAATGTTCACAATGATCTGAGCTCATTCTGTTGTCGAGCAAGTCTTGTTCATGGTTAACACAAGACGCGAGCAGATATATATAATTAGCCTCATCGTTCGTTTTTACTGGTACTCTGCTCGAACCTGACACTAAGAAAAAAAAAAAATTCCATCATTAATTAGTTGCATTGCATTCCAACAGCGTTGGGCCTTCCTGACCACACCCAGACTGAAGAACCAGTCGGATGAAGCTCGGCAAGAGCACTACTTGGATTCTTACAAGCCTACTGAAAAGAGCTTCCTGTGATCATAAATCGTTTCGAATGCCAGCTATCATAGGCTGAAGTGTCTTTTTTTTTCATTATAAAAATTACTATAACGCATGACATACTTGGTGTAATTATATTCCATGTGTCAAACACTACACAATGTTTTGTAAATCGTGTGCGATGTATTTAACAACACAATTCTTGATGCAAACGAAAATTACTGTATGCAAAGAAAAATTACTGTTACACACAACATACTTGGTATAATTATATTCCGTTTGTCAAACACTACTCAATGTTTTGTAAATCGCGGGCGATGTATTTAACAACACAATTCTTGATGCAAACGTAATTGTACGTTATAGTCACAACTGCCGTTCTGGTATATTGTTCTTTCAGAATTATGAAATAAACATGTAACCCTTTTTCGCCTGTGAATTGATGAATTAATCTTCACCTCTGACATGGCGTTTTACTGACAAGATGTACGGTCCTAAGAGGAATACCTCTGTCACTTGAATGTCCACGCTGGTCAAGGGACGTCTGCGAGATATATATTCGCTGTCACACACAAATAGAAAACCTGTTCATGTTTACACTTTGCCTGAAAACCACTGACATTTCGACGAGTTTTGGTTCAAACTAAATTAAGTTCGGCGAATTAAATTCGATGTCTGAGTCAACAGGCGTACTTTTGATTATTTGGGTCGGTCCAAATTTGAATTAAGTTCGGCTCATCAAAAGTTCGGGGTTTGACCTGGGTCTTACAGGTCAGTCTCCGTTCGTGGACCCAATGTCGGATTGAAGAGCGGAGAGAAGAGCGCTTTCCGCGCACGCCTATTTGTCACATATTAGGCGTGATCACGTGCGTACCCAATTACAAGTATCCAAGTACATCTTTTGAACCTGGTTATTTGTGATTGGACATCTACGCCGTTCGCGCGACAATTATGTGAGTTTAAAGGCTTCCTCTTGTTTCCCAACTGTTTGAAAAGCCCTGGCCAAAAATACTTGCAAGTAGTCGCACTAGCGTAGAGACTTGCGTTGGGTGACCAAACGAACTCGCAAGTTTCCTCGCAAGTACAAGCTAGTCGCAAAAAACCCATTTCAAAGCTTCAGGTATAGTCTCGCACGGCCAAAATATAACCATCACTCAGATATATCCCGTATTTTATTGGCTAATAAGTTGCTATAACAACGAATGGGCGTCACTCAGTTTGCTTTGACTCGGGTTGGGTGGGAAGACGGTGAAAAACTTGCGTGCAATTTTGAACTCGACTAAATTGAGCGCAAGTCATCGCAGGTCAACGCAAGAGCACGCAAGACCTGACCAAACGGACTCGCAAGTAGAATCAAGTTTTCAACTTGCGTCTACTTGCGAGTCCATTTGGCCTTGGCTTAAAACGTATGAAAAATACTACTTACGCTTTCGCCTAGAATAAGTTCTTACTTGTATCGATACGATTAATAAGCAATTGGACCTCGTGTCATGCAATTCAGAGAGTAAGCGTGCCCTTTATTTCAGCTTATTCGCCTGATTATATTCTGAATAGTACTCAGCTCGGTATAAAGACTATTGAAAACTATTAAACAGAGACTTCTATTAGGTGATAGTTGATAAGGTTGAAGGTTAAATCAGCTATCACCTCAAAGAAATCGGGAGCAAATAATCTTATCCTTTTAGTAGAATTCTGGCTAAATTTCTTTCAAATAACGATTTCCGATTATTTTTCTATGCTAATAGTATTTTAAGTCATACCTCAGCAAATCCGCGCACGGATTGAATTGCTGTTTGAAACTTGCAGCTGTTTGCACACGCACATTAGTTCATTGAAACGTTTAGAGGTTTAGTTAAAGTTGCACGACGGTCAACCTTCCTGAGATCTAAACTATCCATTGATATTCAAAATCTTCCTCAAAGAATTGCAGAAACGAGGAAACGTTGCCCTTATGCAAGCTACCTCCAGCCACTGCACACTACTAGCTGATAGTGTACGAGTAGCTCAGCCAATCAGACTGCAGCACTTGCATTAGTATACTAAAGTAGAATTCTGTTCATAGAAGTTACATGGATGGTTTATAACGATACAGTCGGTAGTGATTGGCTCTTCAAGGAATGTTTTCGTACTTGTTATTCTTATTACATTTCTGGCAAAGAGAGGAGCATCCTGACTTTATGCTGCCACATGTAAATACAATTCCATCCTGGAAAAAAAAGACAAAACAATTCAAGACAGAAAACAAACTGAAATTCAATGTTTCAATAAAAATTGATTTTAGCTCGCTTTACATCATGTCCGGGTAGCGGAGTTCGTGATTTACCAGAAAAAAATTATATTGCCATACAACGTCACAATCAAATTTAAGTTTGCTCATTCTAGAAATTCTCTATAGCGGCGTTTTCCACAGTTGCTTTCAAGCTACAAATAATTTGTAGCCAAGCCATTGCCAAAGACCACATGGGTCTGTATTACAACGAACACACGTCAAAACGTTGGGGATAGAGAGGTACTGTCATTTTATCAGTTTAAACGCGTACGAGTAGAAAAATCTGATCGAGAACAAACTTTCTTCATACCCATATTAATAAAGTTCTCGGTATTTTT